GAGGTTTGTAGTGATGATGGAATCAGCCCCAGCCCATCCAGATGAAATAAAGTGTAAACACCAACGGCTGAAGATGCAGACAACAGCCCTGACAAAGCAAGAAGAGTCCACCCTAAAAAGAAAAGAACAAAGGTACAACACCAAAGCCAGGCCCCAGGCTGAAAGTCATGTCTGCAATTGACAGGTGATCAATCACACCCGACCCAGAGGCAGCGTGACACAGCAAACCCTATAGACTCTGGTTTCAAACTAAAGCCTACAAAAAAGATGGGTGAGATGGAAGACTTTGGAGGGTAACATTCTGCTGTCAACGTGGAAGGGCATCGGTGCACGCCCAACAGAGACCCAGCCCTTCCTTGTGCCCGGCTTTCCTGGCCAGTTAGCCGCCACAAGCTATGAACCCAAGCCACAAACTCAAGCTATATTCAGGACTGGTAACTGCCTAGCAGCTGCAGAACATTTGATGTGTGTGTGTGTGTGTAAAAGTATTATGCATTAGCTAGTGGTTATAGATCAAATTGTTATCATAATAAATGTGGCATCTTTGCCTTGTCCCCTAAAACGATCCTGTGTAGTTTTGTCTGCGTAGCCCATCTACGATTTCGATCTCAGGTGTGCAGTGCACTCTTAGGGCAACACGAAAGGTAAACCTTTTCTTTCTTTTCTTTTTCTTTTCTTTTTTTTTTTTTTGGAGCTGTGTGGCCAGTTTTTGTTACAAGATTAGGTTTCTCCAGGCTGAATTCTACCGCGAAAACGAAGTTTAATCAACAGTGACATTGCTCTGCAAAGGTTTGATTCACTGAGGACAGGTCCATCAGTGGTGATTAGCCAAGATGGTCCAGGATGCAAACCCATGCTCTGGGTGTCCCTCAGCCCCTGCCTGCCAGATGCTGGGACTGGATGACAGGAGATGGATTACTTGATAATTGCCGGGTTCTGTTCATTCACTCTGAAGCACCTGGCACTGGCCACTGTCGGAAGACAGGATACTGGACTAGATGGACCATTGGTCTGACCCAGTCTGGCCATTCTCATAGGCGCCAACTTCTCCTGGCGCTGGTGGGTGCTCGACCCTGCCCCTGGTCCACCCTGGCTCCACCTCTGCCCTGGCCCTGCCCCCTCCCACCCCTGCCCCGCCCCGATTCCAACCCCTTCCTGGAAGGAATTTTCCTCCAGGGCAGATTGGAAGAGGCGCTGGAGGGTTTTCGCCTTCCTCTGCAGCATGGGGCACGGGTCACTTGCTAGAGGATTCTCTGCTCCTTGAAGTCTTTAAACCACGATTTGAGGACTTCAATAGCTCAGACAGAGGTGAGAGGTTTATCGCAGGAGTGGGTGGGTGAGATTCCGTGGCCTGCGTTGTGCAGGAGGTCAGACTAGATGATCGTAATGGTCCCTTCTGACCTTAATATCTATGAATCTATGGAAGAGCCAGAAGAGTGATGAAACAGCCTCCTGCCCGCACCGTTGCAATCCCTGCTCCAGCCTTCTAGCCAGAACAAGAGACTGGCAGGTCTCCAGACAGAGGAGGACCTCTTCCCATGTGCATGGTGTCACGGAGTGTGGGGGAGTCAGGGCCCTGCACCCAGGGGCGGCTCTACCAATTTTGCCCCCCCAAGCAGTCGCCACCAAATTACTGCTGCCGCAACAGCGGCGGGGCTGCCGCCAAATTGCCACCGCGGGACACGGAGTGCCGCCCCCATTCTGAATGCCCCCCCCAAGCACCTGCTTGGAAAGCTGGTGCCTGGAGCTGGCCCTGCCTGCACCCCCACTTCCTGCCATTCACCCTGACTCAGCCAGCCAGTAAAATGGAAGGTTTATGGGACGACAGGAACACGGTCCCAAACAGAGCTTGTAGGTACAACCAGGACCCCTCAGTCAAGTCCTTCTGGGGGGGCAGGGAGCTTAGACCCCAGTCCTGGGGCTCCCTCCGTTTCCCCAGCCAGCTCCAAACTGAAACCCCCTCCGGCCGTCTCACACTCCCTCCCCCTGGTTGCTCCTCCAGCCTTTGTCCAGTTTCCCGGGCAGAAGGTGTCACCTGGCCCCAACCCCTCTCCTGGGCTCTCATGTTACATGCTCAGGTATCTTCCCTCACGGAAAGTCTCCCATCCCCAATGCAGACAGTCCCAGCAAAACTCCCCTACAACATTCCCAGGTCCATACTCCCCACTCCCTGCTGCATCACACATGGATCACGGGGCCTTGGCAGTCCAGAATCCTGTGAAACTGGAGTCCCCAGTATAGACTTGCTAGCACATAGCACACGCAAATTCTCCTTACCAACTCCGTTCCATAGAGCCAAGTGCTAGGATCTTCCTACTGAAACAGAGCATATGTCCTCTGGAAACCGGGACCAGTTGGATCCTAAGGCTGGCTGCTTGCTGGGGGTTACCGGAACTGTTCCCTGCCCCCTCCCTCTCCACCCAAGGAAGACCTGTGCCAAACGGCTAGTAGACATGGTGTTAAGACAGCATATGTTACCCTTGGGGTTGGAAGCTGAAGGAAATCACCAAAGCAAATGGCCTGTTTCTTAATATCAGTGTGCAGAAACTCTAACTGTTCCTGTGTAGGGTGACCAGATGTCCTGATTTTATAGGGACAGTCCCGATTTTTGGGTCTTTTTTTTATCTAGGCTCCTATTACCCCCCACCCCCTGTCCCGATTTTTCACACTTGCTGTCTGGTCTCCCTATTCCTGCGTCCCCAGGGATCCTCGTTTATGAAAGTGGTCCCGGATTGAATGTTGTACCTAGTCCACAATTCATGGCAGGAAGATTTCCTGTAATGTGCGGGGGTGGGGAGCATGGAGTCAAGAGTTGGAGGAGCAGGAAAAGGAGGTGTGGAAGAGTCCGATTTGGGCCCAATCTAGGGCCCTGAACAAAGGGCACCAGGTTTGTGTAATCTTTGGTGGTGCCCAGAACGGGTCCAGGCAGAGCTGTCCTGTCCATAGGACGGACCGGGGCAACTGACCCAGGCCCCGTGCTTCGGGGGGGGGTTGCCCCAGTCCATCCTATGGACGGGACAGGTCTGAAAATATAAGCCCAAATATTGGGGGAGCCGGGCCCACATTCCTGCATATTGGTGGAGCACGGGCACCATGGGCCCATATAACTCGTTGCCTATGGCCCTGAAGGGGAGGTAAGGGGAGACCAGGGCTAATTTACTTCCCCTTACTATCCCCCCCACCCCTTACTTTTCAGAGCATTCATCCAGCAAAATCCCTCTGAGACCGCAGTGGGAAAGTCTAACATAAGCAGCATTTGGTCACTTAAATATTAAACAAGCCCTTGAAGATAAAATTATTACGGTTGCGGCCTGCCTGTTGGACAGAAGGGTAATTTACCAGCTGAGTGGACTCTGCTGAATCCGGACGAGGGGCCTTGTTGGGTGTACTGGAAATCAAGTGTCTTCAAATGAGCGAGGACTATCCCAAAGGCAGAGGGGTCAGTCTTTGCACGCACACAGTTCCTCTCAAGGCTGGCATGGGGTCTGAAGAGCGGTATAGCCTCGGGGTTGATTACATTAATGAATGATTTCAGAATAACAGCCGTGTTAGTCTGTATTCGCAAAAAGAAAAGGAGTACTTGTGGCACCTTAGAGACTAACCAATTTAATTAATTAATTAATTAATTAATGACTCTCTAAGAATGCCACACACTTCCTCCTTTCCTGGCTTCTAAATGACACAGCATCACCCTTCCTGCATCCTTCACCCTTCCTGCATCCGGGGATCCTGCCATTCCTCTCCTGAGTAGGATCAAAAATGTCAGTTTGGTCCCCTGTTTGTCCACAGCTGCTTGGCACAGCTTGCCTGCGTGCACCGTACCAGAGTGACCAGCCCTGTGAGGACCCCTTTGGGGGCGGTGCACTGGGCTCCCCCCAGCTTCCAGGGGGCGTAAGAGGAGTGAAGGCACCGTGTGGAGTTAAGATCCTTTGCATCTAAATTTAGCCACGTTGACAACTGGGCACAAGCAAATAGTTACACCGAATTGGAAGTGATTTCAGCTGTCCCTACCGCTAGTGCAGCGGAGGGGTGTGTGGAGGCTACCAGTGCTAGCCTGCAATGTGCCATATTGATGGATCAGGGACCGTGCTGACTGGGGCCTCCGGGAGCCACTGCAATATACATATTGGATAACCTGACTATCTGTAATGCAGGAACGCAGCACGGGCAGGCTCGGTCGAGACTGAGCCTGGTATGCTGAGACGTCTGGCACAGCCATTTGAAAGGTGAACGTGCTCAGCACTACATTACAGAAGTCCCGGGGCTGGCTGTATTTGGGCTCCGAGCCACGCTTCCTTCACCCACAATCTGCCAGTACCGCAGAGCAGCGAGAGTGAATCTCCAACTTCATCCTTGACCTCAGACGACCAAACAGTCCGTTTCTCTGCCAGTAAAACACGTGCAGACGTCCCGGAACAATGAAAGTGAAAACCAGGAGGGTCTCCATTCTGTATCTGAACGGCCACAGGGCTCCTCCACCTCCATGGGTTTTGGCTAAACCGCGCTTAAGGGTCGAAATACGCTTCCATCTGGAAATGTGAAATAAGTGTGTCTATCCAGCCTCTGCCTGCCAATTGGAGACGATTAACGGCTTTCAGACTAATCCTAAAGGAGAATGGCATTAGCATATTCCGCTTGTGTCTGAGACCCCAGATATTTGATACTCCAATCCATCCCGGAAATAAAGCTGTGTAGTTAGCTGCTGTGTAGATTTCATAGGAAGGGCATCCCTCCCCCAAGCTCATGCCCCAGAGACCTTCTGGTTTCCCACCGGTCCCATTGTTCTTTTGAGGTTAGTACTTGGGAGATAATGCTGCCATTTACATAGAAATATAAAATCCAGGATAAGTGCATCTGCTCAGAGATGGGAAATGAAGAGGAATCAAAAAAAGAATTAACTCACAGTTTTCCTGGAGAGAGGTGATTTTATTTTTAATTTCTCTGACCCAAGGGCGGTTGAGACGCCTTGACGTGTCGTGCATGTCCCCTCCTCCCTGGCTAAGCAGCTGGATTTGGGAGCCTTGGAGCCTCCAGTCCCTAGGAGCTACCCTATCTAGCACCATGAGGATGCTCCTTGATGAGATCAGAGTGCCTGAGTGAGCCGATCTCTGGGGAAGCCTGACTCTTGCTACCAGGCAACAGAACCAGGCCTAACGCACGTCCCAGTTACCACGTGGGAAGCAGAGCCCGCAGTCGCGAGTTTGAGTCCCGTCACTGCTTGTGTGTGGTTTGGCTGATTGTGCCCATCCTCCCTGCTGATTTGTGTGTAAATGGGGCTTCCATTGTTTTGATTCCATAACGCTTCATTTACACTGGAGCCATGTAGAGAGCTGCCTTCCCTTCTGTCTGGGAGAAAACCTGTTTCTTCCTTTGTTTGGTCACAGACTTTAAAGCATAATATCAGTGAATATCCATGACTCCTCATAGAGTGCTGACACATTTCACAATGATATTGATCACCAGCGTGTCAATTCTGCACTGGACTCCTGACTATCTTTCAATACCTGAATTCTCTGGTCTTGCATATTATCCAACCCGCTCCCACCTATCCCTGGCTTATCTAGCTGTGCAACAGCTGTGTCTGACTTTATCTAGTTCTGCCAACAAACTTCGCATGTGTTCATTATCCCTGGGCTTTGAGCTGCAGCTCCAAACTTAGAGCGGTTTAATATTTCTCTAGCGTTATCTCAAGCGATACAGCAAACTGATATAAACCCTCAGTGCTGCTCCGGTGTCAGGTAGGTTGCAGCCCATCCAAGATGAAAGGCATTCTTGCGCTGGTCTGCTTCCTGCCCTGTTTAACATCTGGGGCCCACCTCTCCTTTCCAGGTAAGAGCAGATTGTTAAAATATTTTTTAAACTAAAATGTATCCCGTTTGGATTTATGTGACGATAACAAAAAGGCAATTCAGGGTGAGATTTCTCTCCTGCCCAAGAGCCTGGCAAAAATTATGGGTTCAAATGAGCCATTTCTGAGTGAACACAGATGCCCAAAGCTCTGATTTTGCAAACACGAAATTCAGCCCTGTACAGATGGTCTAAGCATTGCTTACTTTTCACTTCTTAAGTGGTGCAGAAGGCCCCATGTTGGCCTCTTGCATAGGAGTGAATTTTACCCTTGTAGAACAATTTACCAACCAAGGGATGTGGTGCCTTCTCCATCCCTTGACAGTTTTAAATTAAGATTGGATGGCTTTTTAGCTCAGCCACAAGACATGGGCTGGATGCAGGACTCATTGAGTGATATTCCCGGGTTTGTGTTACGCAGGAGGTCAGACTGCTCCTCACGGTCCCTTCTGGGCTTAACATCCATGACTCTATGAAAAAAATATTCAAAAATCTGTTCTGTGAAAAGCTGACGTTGGCCATCATTGGGGACAAATTTGGGCAAAACCACCAACCTGGGTAAATGGAACTCCAGACCGGCAGTGGGCTGAGCCGGGCCGGCAGCCGGGACCCAGGCTGGCAGGAGCTGGCGGACGGAACTCCAGACGGCGGCGGGCTGAGCCGGGCCGGCAGCCGGGACCCAGGCTGGCAGGAGCCGGTGGACGGAACTCCAGACCGGTGGCGGGCTGAGCCGGGCCGGCAGCCGGGATCCCGGCTGGCAGGAGCCAGCGGAACCCCAGACCGGCAGCGAGTGAGCCGCTGCCGGTCTGGGGTTCTTTCTGCCACCCTGCTCAGCCCGCTGACGGTTTGGGGTTCCGGCCGCTGGCCCCTTGCCAGCCAAAATCCCGGCCATCGGCCCCGCTCAGCTTGCTGCTGGCCTGGAATACCAGCCGCCAGCCCCGCTCACCTTGCTGCTGGTCTGGGGTTCCGGCTGCCGGCCCCTTGCCAGCCGGGGTCCCGGCCATTGGCCCCGCTCAGCCCTCCTGCCGGCTTGGGGTACCGGCAGCCAGACCAGGGCTCTGCTCCTGGCCTGGGCCCAGTGCTCTGCAGCCCTTATCAAAAATTACACTACAGTTAGCTTAAAAACTTAAAAACTTTGTATATTACAGTAATCGTTAAAAATGTATAATGTTAATAAAAACATAGGTTTGATGAAGCAAAGAAATTGTACTTATGTGCCCGTGCTTAATTTGTGTTTTCGATGATTTACCTTCTAAAAAAACCTCGCACGTCTCACACCCCCAGAAAGGGCATCTCGCACCCCCAGTGGGTGCATACACCCCAGGTTAAGAACCACTGCACTAAACTGATAAGATCTGCATTTTAATTTAATTTTAAATCAAGCTTCTTAAACATTTTAAAAGCCTGGTTTACTTTACATACAATAGTTTAGTTATATAATATAGACTTATAGAGAGAGACCTTCTAAGAAACGTTAAAATGTATTACCGGCACGCAAAACCTTAAATTAGAGTGAATAAATGAAAACTCGGCCCACCACTTCTGAAAGGCAGCTGACCCCTGGTCTAGTTCTAAAGCGTGGCAGCAAAATTGACACTTGGGGCTCTTCTCCAGTAAGGTCTGTACGCTGTATTCTGGTAGCGCTTTCTGTTTTGCTGCACGAGTATCTTGCAATCACTCTTTGCTTAACATGTTATTCGCCTGGCGTATGTTCACCATCGACGATAGCTGCTCTTCCCCCCTGCAGGTTACTTTGTGCAAATAACCACCGTGTAACATGCACTTTATCAAACACATGAAATCAAGTCGTAGCCACCCCTATGCACGAGCACTTCAGAAATCCTAGTTCAATGAAGCCGACAGGAGGTTTCCCATTGATTTCAGGGGGCCAGGATTTCACCCATGTTGTTTCCCATCTGGTTTCGTGGTTAGCTGCTTGCTTGTTTGTGCCGAGAACTTGTCCGTGCAGTTTCCAGCAAAGGCAGAAATAGCACTTCCCTGTTTCCCTCGTGTACTCACGTAGAGAAAATGCACAGCAAAGAAGGAAAGCCGGGATCCCAAGAATCTTTGTGAATAATTAAGGTCAGATTTGTAGTTCTAACTTTAAAGGCGAAGGCTTGGCTGCCATATCTACAGACGAGAGCAGATTCTCTCCCGTGTTCCCAGAGATACGTGCATTTAGGGCTCATTAAAAATCCATGGATAGAGCTCTTGGCTGTAAAGCCTCTGATGGGATTTCAGCTCCAGCATGATTCGCTCTCAAGTCCGTTGAGTCTTGCTGTGCACTGGGCAGGTGATATGGGGCAGTCAGGGCCAGCTACCTCCAAGATGGGGAGCTGCTTCGGCCCACTTCTGCTTGCACGCACCCCAAGGATGGTGTTGGGGCGCGAAAGAGAGAGAAGCAACATCCCCTGCTTCCCAGCTATGTTACATTAACAGTGTCATTTCCCCTTCTTGTCGCTGAGGGTCTGCCTGGGGTCAGTATCCACATCACCATTGGATAGAGGAACAAAGCTGAGGCACATAGAAAAATGCCCTGTCCGAGGCCTCCTAGTGAGTCATTGGCGGAGCGGGGAAAAAGGACCCAGGAGTCCTGGTTCCCGATCTACTGTGTAAAGCAGGCCCCTGTCGATCAATCCTTCCAGAGAGGGAGTCCTGGGGATGTTCTGTACAGCTGTGGAGTCAAGCAGAGAGGGAAAATTTAAGAGACCCCCAGAAAGGTGAAAGTGATTTGAAGGGGGGTCTGTGTGGATGGGCTTCATCCATATCTAGAATGGAAAATCCAGGAAACGCGGCTTCATCCTGCAAATGCGTCACAGAATCAGCAAGTAGCGTGGGATAGCTGCAGCGGGAGAGGGTGGCGTAGAGACCAGGCTGTGCTGGACAGCCGAGGTGCGAAAGGAAACGGAGTGTCTGAAGCAGACGGTAGATGGAGCTCATTCCAGATGGTCGGAGCTGGGTTCTCTCCCACACGTGAGAGGAAGTAGGCCCTGCTCAGACCCAGGGAGGAGGGTGTGTATGGACACTTGGGTACTGTATTAGGAATGGAGCACATGGAAGAGGGAAGCTGGATTCTCCCCTTTGGCTATCTTGCCTGCACAGGGTTCCTTGGGAGTAATTATTCCACAACAATGATGGCTTAGTGACTATTCTAATAGGCACATTAGCTGGATGAACTGAATAAACCAGCCATCATGCCTCCAATGAGCCAGCTACTCCTTTGAGCTGGGTAAGAGGGGAGTTGGGGACTAGCGCTGTAGGTGCTTCTTTGTCCATGTTTCTAGCCCATTACCCTAGTATCTGGCCACTGAGGCGAGGCCGTAGTGAACTCTGGTCCCTCTTGTTGCCATTCCAGGGGAAGGTGAGCAGCGGGAGGTCCCCTCATTCTACTCTGTCTCCGACAGTGAGATCAAGAGCATCTCTGAGACGCTGTACTCTGCCGACGTGAACAGGGCCACCAGCAGCGAGATCATCCTCAACCTGCAGCACAAGATCTCCTCTGACCAGACCAGTGCAGGCCAAGACTACGCCAAGCAGAAGTGAGGGCATGGGGGTGGAGTGGAGGGGACAGGAGATGCTGGGAAACCCACCTGTGTGGGATGTACAGATCAGGGGGGAGGGTGCGTTGAGATTACACCATATCCTTGCATGGGCAGAACCTTCCACAGCCACGTAGAAATTCCCGCAGGGCAGACAGAGTGGAGGGACACAGAGGTAGCATACACACACGGCAGATGGATCTGGTCAGGGTGTGGGGGTGCAGGAAGGGGGACGGAAGTGTACGTAGGCCTCGTTCTGGCTCTCTGTCAGGGATGCCTCCTTCCGCAGGTCCCATTTATAACGATCCGAGAGGGACTAGTTAGTCTCTGGTCAGAGAGGAAGGATGGTCCAGTGGTTAGAGTACCAGCCAGAGACATGGGTTCTATCCCTTGCTCCTCCACAGACTTCTTGGTGTGACCTGGGGCAAGTCACTAAGTCTCTCTGCCTCAGATCGTCGTGTGTCCAGTGGGGAAAAGAGCACTTCCCTGCCCCCCAGTGGGGCGGTGAGGATAAAGGCATTAAAGATTGTGAGGCCCTCTGATGCTCTGGTGTTGGGGCCCAGATAAGTACTTAAGGCAGAGCTATCAGCTCACCGGCTCTGCCTCCGATTCTCTGGCTGGATCTGTGACTAGGAGCAGCGTCCCTAACCCCCTCTCTCCACTCTCCTGCCAGGCTCTTCAGCTACGTGGACGAGGATGCCCTCTTCTCCAAGCCCACCTTTGCCAGGCTCTTGGCGCTGCTGAATAACTACGAACGCATGACGGGCAAGGAGGAGGTGGTGACCGCCTCCGAGAGACAGGAGGTGGACGCTTTCCTGGATGAAATCTTCAAGACCCGGGTGATGGAGAAGCTGAGCCAGTTCTTTGTTTCTACAGGTAAAGTACCAGCTGTGTGGCAGTGTGCAGCTAGGTGATGACATGGGTTGTGTCTGCTGCCAGGTGCTGGCGGGACCATAGCTAATCCCCAGCCTCGGCTCATTGCAGGATCCTGTAGCCCTGCCAGGTGCCGTGGAGACAGGCTTCCCCTGGCTGCGCCGGCAGGAGTCCAAGCAAGGAATTGCCTCCCCTCGGGGGTTTAGTTTTCAGTTTGGGGCTGGGTGGAGGAACGCAGGGGACCCCAGGGCTGGGGTCTAAGCTCCCTGCTCCCCCAGAAGGACTTGACTGAGGGGTCCTCGGTGTACCCACAAGCTCTGTTTTGGACCGTGTTCCTGTTGTCCAATAAACCTTCTGTTTTATTGGCTGTCTGAGAGCCTCAGTGAATCCCAGGAAGAGCGGTGCAGGGCCTGGACTCCCCCACACTCTGTGACACCTGTCCCTCAAGCTCGGCTCTCACCCGAGCAGAACGCAGCTCCCGGCACCTGCTGGCCATCAGCGCCGGCAACCAGGACTGCCTGTTCTCCCCCTTCAGTGAGACAGCCCTTCTCGGGGGTTCACTCTCAGGGGTTAAGCCCCTTCGCCTCCTGGAACCGCACCTCTCTGAGCCTTAGCACACCTGTCTCTGCCGTGGGCCCCTTCAGGGAGTCCCCTTGCTCTGGACCCCCAGGGCCTCCACTGCTAGAGGGAATAATGCCCCTCTGATCTCTAGACTGGAGTGATTCTCAGCCAGTGTAAAACAGGAGGGGTCACTGAGCGTCTGAACCCAGCACAGGAAACTCTCAGGGCCTCAGGCCTGGCCTCCCTCCGCACAGCACATCCTAGTCTCCCCGGCATCCAAGTGGGCTCTGCCTGCTCTCTCTCTCCAGTCCTGAGCCCCCCTGCTTCCCAGCTGGGCATCTGATATCACGGGCCCCAAGCCGGCCTCTGTCCATTGTCTTCTCTCCAGGTAAACAGGGTCGTAAACAGGGTCTCCTGGGCCTCCTCTCCTCTCTTCCATCCTCTGGCCCCCTCTGGCTGGAACCGGCTGGTCAGGTCACCGGGGTCCTCTCTCCGCAGCCCATTGTCCTCCCACTGGCCAGACCTGGCTGTGACTCCCGAGCTGGGCCACCAGGTCACCAGTCGCTGTGGTCTCCATTCTCCAGGCCACTGGCTGGGGCCCCAAGTTCCCGGTCCTCTGTAACAACAACCTCCCTCTCCCACCGCCTCGTTAAACCAGAAACGCCCAGGGAAACTGAGTCCCACCCCCTCTGCACGCAACCCATGGGAAAAACCAAGGGAAAACCAAGAAACCCCCCCACTTCGTCACACTCGCTGCTTGCCGGCGGGGTGCGTGCGTGACACAGAGGTAATAGCTTGCACCTGCGCCCGACGGGAGTTTGCCAGCTGGGAGTGACAAAGGAGACGGGGAAATGTGCCGTGGAGGGGCAGTTTGCGCACTCAGAGAGGAGTGGGCGTGGGATTGGAGGGGAGGCAGCCTCGGTCCAGGGAGAAGGCCCCCTGTCCCGGCTACAAGGGTTTGACGTTCTAAATAGTGAGGCTGGCGATGGAGAACATCCGATCACTATCTTTGGGCCTCACCCGTTCTTACAAGCGAGCAGGTGGCGAATGACCCCGTTAAGCCCATGCCAGAGCCATGCAAACACCCTGCTGCCCCTCGCTGGGCTGCGTGCTGTGGAATCTGGCCGGCTGATGGATTCAGACCTGAGATCTCCCGTGGCTGGGCTATGGAAGCTCAGTCCCCGGGAGCTAGCTGCATTGCCCTGCTGGAGACCAGCTCTGACACCTGCTGTCTCCCCGGGCCAGGTATCTATTTGTCGGAGAATGACTTCAAGGCAGACCTGAAGGAGATGTGGTTCGGGCTCTACTCACGCTCGAAGGGAGCGGCCATGGACTCCTCTGGCTTCGAACACGTCTTCCACGGTACAGCGCTGCTCGTGGGGCGGTGGGGGGTGGATCCCCGAAGAGAGCACAACACAAAGCCACAGCTCCGGGGGCTGTCGGAAAGATGAATAAACCTGAGGCTCCAGCATGCCCGTTTGTAGAGCCCCTTCTGCTGGAGGAGACCCCCCTCCAAATGCCGGAAACCTCAAACATGGGGGGGCCTAAAATCTGGCCCCTAATATTCAGGTTCCTGAGCAAGCAGCAGCCTCATCTGCAGAGGGGCTGACCTGCTGAAAACGGCCTCTGTGAAAATCAGGCCACATGTTTAAGAAGAAGAAGCCCGAGCTCTGGGTACAGCCCTTTCGATCCATAGAGCTCCAAGTGCTTTCCAAAGGAGGCTGGTATCATTAGCCCCCTTTTACAGATGGGAAACTGAGGCACGGACAGGGATGCGACTTGCCCAAGTTTGCCCACCAGGCCAGTGGCAGAGGCTGCCGGGAACAATCACAGGGATGTAATTTCTGTCAATCACACAACTGTGAATGGGGAGGGTGGGGGGGGGGTCAATCATTGGGAATTTGCCAAGGGGCCAGTTAGACGTGGAAACTGAAATGGAACAGACTAGATGTGCCAATCTGATAAGTGGCGTAGCCAAGCCTGGGGTGGGATTTCCTGGGGATAACCCCCTTATACAGAGTACCGGGGTGGTGGTGGTGGCCTGCAATACACACGTCACTCCGGATGATCTGGTGGATCCTCCTGGCCGTAAGCTGCATGGCTCCAAATTTAACGCTGGGACTTTTCAGGCCGGCTTTTACCTTGAACAGCATTTCTCAGGTCAGGACAGTCAGTTATTCTCAGCCACTCAACAGGGTATTAATTCACCCCGACCCACGTTAGCACGGTGTCGAGACGACCGACGTTCTAGGGCCCTGCTGAACAGACAGATACAGCCCCGCGAATGATTGTCCTAAAGCGCCTTGCGGTCGGGCAGTTGTACCAGAGAACTTCACAGCTCCCCGTGTACGCTCAGAATCCCCGGGGGCGATGGGAACTCAGGGGCAAGTGATGAGCGGCTGGAAGAAAGTGAGGGGCCCGCTGGGAAGGGCACAGGGTCTGCGGGAAGCTGTCGGGGGCGCCACCTGCCCCTGTCGGGGGCGCCACGTCGGGGCGCGGCAGGAAAGGAGCCAGAGACAGGCCGTGACTCCAGCTCTGCTTCCTCTCGCCTGCAGGGGAAATCAAGAGCGGGAAAATCTCAGGCTTTCACAACTGGGTCCATTACTACGAGCTGGAGAAGAACGGAGAGATCAATTACCTGAGCTATAGCTACAATGGGCCTGTGAGTGCTGGGGGGAGGGCGTCCACTGGGCCTAGCTCGGCGCGGCTCCTACCTTCCCGATCCAGGGGCAGGTGGCTTCCAGCCCGGCTCAGTGCGGCTCCTACCCGCCCGATCCAGGGGCAGGTGGCTTCCAGCCCAGCCCAGCTCAGCATGGCTCCTAGGCCGGAGGAAGGATCCTTTTCTGCTCACTGACGCAACCTGCCGCCTCGAAGCCCCACGAGGGGTCTGGGTTCAAGTCTCAGTCCCAGTGGTGGGGGGCTCAGTGAGTCCCTTTGCAAGCCCAGCACAGACAGGGAGGACAAAGTCTCCTCCCATGGAGTCCTGAGCCATCGCAGTCCTGCCGTCGGCTGGCGAGCAGGCTGCCCGTCTCCCTGCCCGGCGCTGGCTCGTGGGTAGCGAATTGGTGCCATCCTTTATCCCATGCACCCTCTTGAGATAGTTTCCAACCGGAGACAGCCCAGAGCACCCGCGGCCAGGGGCACCCACCTCTTGCGTCTCCTTGTCTGGTTGCAGTGGACCGGCTACCCTGACATCATGGCTTTCCAGTACAGCTGGACGGGTTATCTGAAGAGCGTCGGCTCCTTCTTCATCGGCTCCAGCCCCGAGTTTGAACTGGCCGTGTACACACTGTGCTACAAAACCAGGCCCAACAAGCTGTGAGTATCAGAGGCAATGCCAGGTAGGCCGGGCCCCAGTGGGGGTGTCGCCCCTGAAGAGCCACCGGCACGGGAGGGGGCGGGGGGGGTTGGGGGGACGACGGATGGACTTTCAGGTCATTTCTGGTAGCAATTGAAGTACTGTTAGAAACTCTTTGTTGTGCATAAAACCCTTTGAGAAGCCTGCTAATGCCTCCTTCCCCGCAGACTTTTGTGGCAAAGGCGATCATTGCAGTCTGATCCTTAGAGCAGCGGGAGCTGGCAGTCAGGACTCCTGGGTTTTCTCTTGGCTCTGGGAGGGGAGTGGGGTGAAGTGGTTAGAGCAGCGGGAGCTGGCAGTCGGGACTCCTGGGTTTTCTCTTGGCTCTGGGAGGGGAGTGGGGTGAAGTGGTTAGAGCAGTGGGAGCTGGCAGTCGGGACTCCTGGGTTTTCTCTCGGCTCTGGGAGGGGAGTGGGGTGAAGTGGTTAGAGCAGCGGGAGCTGGCAGTCGGGACTCCTGGGTTTTCTCTCGGCTCTGGGAGGGGAGTGGGGTGAAGTGGTTAGAGCAGCGGGAGCTGGCAGTCGGGACTCCTGGGTTTTCTCTCGGCTCTGGGAGGGGAGTGGGGTGAAGTGGTTAGAGCAGGGGGGCTGGAGTCAGGACTCCTAGGTTCTGTCCCCAGCTCTGGGAGGGGAGTGGGGCCTAGTAGTTAGAGCTGGGGGCTTGGGATCAGGATTCCAGCCTTCTCAGCATTGCCAACCCCAAGTGTTCAAAACTCATGTCCGGCCACAGGAAAACAAAACACAGGATTGGCTTAAATCCTCTGAGGCTTCTAAAAAATACCCCCCGTGGGGACACGTTTGTATCGCCCTGCGGGGCACACTCAGGCCTCGAGGCTTCAGAGGGCGACGTGGCTCTGGACGGCCCCTCCCCAGCAGCCTCATGTCCATCTCCTTGCAGGTGCACGCTCAGCCTCGGCGGGAAATCGGCCCAGATTCAGACCTACTCCTGGGCCAACTCGGAGTACGGAGCAGGCAAACGGTACCTCGCCTCCTCGTACCCCAACTCCCCCTGAGCCCGCCCCCCTCCACTCAGCACCACGACAATAAACCTTTCCCTCGCTGAGCCGCTCCCTCTTGCCTTTTGTTTTCAGGGTCCCAAGTGGGGAACCCCGCCCCACCCCGCCCGCACATGGGGCTCCTGCTGCTAGTTTCTTGCAGTGATTGTTGTTTCGGGAGCGTGCGTACGGGGCCTGTTATGTGACAATAGGTAATAACCTCGGGCAAGTGCAGAGCCCTTTTAGTCCCTGTCCCTTTGCCCCCACGCGGGCCCCAGGGTTAATGCACCGTGTGTGCATTTGTCCGGCTCCGTTGGCTCTTGGAACGGGGAGAGTGGGGGGGTCATGAGTCGAGCTTCTGCCTTGTGATCTGTGCTGTGCTCAGGGCTGCCCTGGCCCCTGGGAGCAGCCAGCCACTGAGCTCGCACTTTGTAAAGCAGCCGGGCTAATGGCCTGCCCCATTGTCGCTGTCCATGGTGGACGGCAGTGAGGTCTCCAGGTGGAGTTTAGATGGAAAACATCCCTTATGGCGGCAAAGGAATCCCTCCCGGCCACACACGCGATTGAGAGCTGCTGGCTCGGCAGCAAGCAGGCGCAGATGCCCTGGAAAAGCCGGGCTTCCTCCCAGCCCTGCAGCTGTCCTAACCGTTCCCAGTCTCCAGGGGGCAAGCAGGTGTCAGGGAAACTCCCTGGGCAGGCTGCTGGCCAGGCCATGGTAGTGCTGAGAGATGCGGACCCCTCTCCGGCACACGCATACACCCCTTGCTCCGGAGAAGGGGCATTTTCCTCGCCCTAATAAAGCAGGCAGCCCCGGTGAGCGCAGGGCCTGGCCCTTCGGCTCAGGGTCCTGTGGCAGCGGTAATCTCAACTGTCCTGCCAGGTGATGCGGTTTGCGGCCAAATCCATCACCTCTCTCCCGTCCGCCACGAAGACCCCTTAATCACCTGCAGAGGTGGGGGGAATCCCCTGGCAGCAGCAGCAGCTAATGAGAGCTGCCGTGAAGAAATGCACAAACCTCGTTTGCCTGGGGAGAGCGAAGCCTTTTGCCTTCCCGAAGCCTGCTCCTGAAATCGATGGCAAAACTCCAGGGGAGCAGGACCAGCCCTTTAAACAGCCATGCGCCCCCGGGACGGCCTTGGATCCATCTCATCATTAGCAGCTCGCCTAGCCCTTCCTGCGATGAGAGCAGGGATCCAGAACCACTTTACAGGCCTAGAACTCTCCCGTCGCCACCTCCGGCAGCTCGTCAAGCTGCTGTTCTGATGGGCGCTGTCGTGAAGGGAGCGGCTGTGTCTGCCCAGTGAACACGCCGCCCCTCTCCCCCGACCCAGGAGAGCCGCTGGCCCAGACGGGTCAGGCAGTGGGGAACCGCCGTGGGGAAATGGAGGACAAATTCAGCAGGGCTGCAAACAGATCAGAGGCCGGGGATGTGTGCGGCTTGTGATGTCAAGGGCTGGGTTGGGAGGGCCGTTCCTGTTCAAACAGAGGGTCCCCTCTGTTTCCAGGGGGCCTGACTGAAATGTCCTGACGGGGCCTGCTTTCCAGAGGGAGGGGGCTCAGAACATTCTAAGAACCAGGCCCCTTTGAGGTTTGCCCCCCACCCCCACCGAAACCAGAGGCTTCCCAAATCACTTCTTCTGTCTGGGCTCCAACGCCTTCTCTCTTTCCCCGCCTTGGGGTGCCAAGCTACGAAGCGTGGCCAGACCCTGCTGTGCTGTCTGTGATTTCCCTGGCAGCGCCTCTGATTCTGCAGGCAACAGAAAGACCCCTGCAAAGCGTGAAGCTGCTGGGGATTTATGGCCGAATCTTCATGGCTCCCAGTCACTGGTGCCTGGTGAATGGGGAGGTCGTGGCTTGGCTTAGCAGGCCGCGAACTGGCACCGTTTTCTCACTGCCAGCGGCGTCTTCACTGGCCATTTTAGGCCTTGTAATTCCCCCTGGCAATAGCAGATGTGCAGTGTAGCCGGGGTGCGGGCGTTAATATCGTCGCCCCTCTGCCAAGCGGGAGCCGATTTTGAGGCCTCCCCCTGGGAAGAGAAGTGAGTGCCGTGGACTCTGGGTCTTTTCTTAGTGTCACTTGTAAGCACTGAACTAGTTAGAACTGAAGGCAGAGAGCAAACTCTCCCGCGGCTTGCAGCCGCTGCCCCCGGACGAACGCGCATCACAAAACGAACAACAATGCAGCGTTGCTTCAAAGACTGAACTCCGCTTTCAGGCGACGCAAACGGCTGCAGCAGCTCCATTGGGCGTCTCCTGCTCTAACAGCGTCCACAGGGCCGGACCTGAGTCCTGGCAGAGTCAGGAGCCCAGAGGATCAGAGTCCGAGATGGGCCAGAGGGCAGCCGGAGAGGCGGGTGGCAGGAGGCAGGCCGGGTCGGATACCAGGAGATCAGAGATTGTAATGCCATAACAAAGCCCACCCAAATCCACCGTCAATAGCGCTCTTCAAACCATGCCCCGAACGGCAAGGCGCACGTAATGAGAACCAGGGTGGGTGAGAAGTGCCACCAGGTGGCGCTCTAAGGCGCCAGATTTGCAAAGGTTCTCAGCCCCCAGCAGCTCCCATAAGGTGGGAGAGGGAGGTGGTGATGGGGGGAGAACGCCATTGTTCCCAGTGGGGAAGGGGATCCTCCACTGCTCTGGGAGGGAGCCGCTGGGTGCCAAATGCTTTTGAAAAGCCGTCTGCTTCCGTTCGATGCCTAGACGGGAGCTGAGTAATACTGAAAACCCAGGGCCACTTAGCAAGCTGCTGTGTTGATTGAAACGTCATCTCGTCAAGAGGAAGCCAGCAGAGGTAGGAGGCTGGCACTTCCTACCTCTCTGTGGTGTACTCTGACGACGGCCTGCACCTTTCCCCGGCCAGGGCTTGTGCAACTGACAAAAAAAACCCATGGGGGAAAGGGCCGAGGGGGGCTTTCCCGGAACGTGGATTTCTGGGAAGGGAGAGACACGCATTCAGCATTTCCTGCCCCACACTTGAGAGCGCTGTGTTCCCCTGTGTTCACCAGCATCCAACCAACTCATGAGGATACGATCATATCCAGCGCCTGTAAGCATGGCGGGCAGACAGCCTTCCTCCCATTCACTGGGACCCGCCCCGGATTGCTGATGGGGACGGCACATTGACACTCGACGTCCCAGTGCTGTTCAAAACACAAATGCTGCAAAGACACTCACTGCTCTGGAGACGCTCGCTGCTTCCTATAAAGGGAGGTGAAATGCAAGCTCAGCCCAGAGCTAGATCTAGAACCCTGGCGTCCAGACTCCCAGATCCCCGCTAAAGTCAGGGCCCCTTTCCCCTTACGGCTCTGAATAAAACCTTCTGAACACGGAAGTCTGCAGACAGCCTGAGATGACAGCCCAGAGAGAGGTGTAAAGGGTTGTTGTTCACCTCAGTGGGTGTTTACTCTGAAACCTAACAATGACAGTAATTTTAGCAGAAACATCCAGCTCACATGATTCTCCCATAATGCTCCCCCTCCACCCCATACTAAAAACTCCAGCTCTGGATCCCTTACAACAGGGCCAGATGCACCCTGACAGCCAAGCCACTGGCTCTAACCACTAGACCCCACTTCTGCCTTGAGAATTTAAGATGCAAGGATCACCGTGGATAAACATCTCAGGATAAGCGTCCAGTGTGATGCCGTGGGATAAATGGGAGTGTGACGCAGTAGGGAGGGGGGAGTGTTGACCTGGGAATGTGGCAGGGGACTTTCATTGGGATGGGATACCTGAGAGCCTGTAACCTGAGCCAGGAGGGGGAGGCGGGAGGTAACACCTCTGCCCGGGAATCTGGACAAAGGCTGCAGGAGAGAGCCTGCTGGGGGGTGGGTGTTTGTTTCAGTTTGGTGCTGGGTGGTGGAACGCAGGGAACCTTAGGGCTGGGGTCTAAGCTCCCTGCCCCCACAGAAGGACTTGACTGAGGGGTCCTGGTTGTACCGACAAGCTCTGTTTTAGACTGTGTTCCTATTGTCCAATAAACCTTTCACTTTACTGGCTGGCTGAGAGTCATGGTGAATCCCAGGAAGAGGGGTGCAGGGCCCGGACTCCCCCACACTCCGTGACATGGGGATAGATAGGTAGATAGATGGGGTGCATGGGGAGAGAGAGAGAGAGAGAGGTCGGGGAGGGGGTGTATGGGGATAGATAGATAGGTGGGGCGATAGGATAGATTAGATTAGATGATATGGATCTGAGTGGATGAGATATATGTGTATGGCTGGGGATGTACAATGTTTGTGCACACAGGCGGATGCATGTGTGTGTGTGTGTGCATTGATGGGTGTGTACGGGAGACCATGGGTGGGTGCAGGGTTACATTAGGATGCCTGTGTACATGTGGGGGGGTTAGGGATCGCTAGCTAGGGGGGTGTGGGTGAATGTGTGGGCGTGGATGACTGTATGTATTTGTGCATGGATGGCTGGATACCTGTGCGCAAGGACAGGTGGGTGTGGGCAGGCATGCATGTGCATGCGGAGGGAATGCATGCAGGGTGCATGGAAGGCATGCTCGTGTGGGTGCATGGCGCGTGCATGCGTGGAGGGCACGTTTGGGTGGATGGATGTGCACGCAGGTACGTGTTCACGGGGCCGTGGAGGCGCCCGGACGGCTTGTATGTCGGGATGAACGGGGCTTGGGGTGCACGCATGGGCGGGTGGGTGCATGCACCTGTGTGCACGGTAAGGCATGTGCACGGACGGGTGTGAGGGTGCGAGTGGCACGTTTGGATGGATGCATGTGGGGTCGGTGGGTGCATGCACATGGGTGTGCGCGGGGGGGGGGGGCGTGCAGGGATAGGCGTGTTCGGCTGGGTGTGTCCTGGCGTAGCCGATGGGACAGCTGTTGATCTGGGTGCCGCCGAGATGAATGAAATAATTACACGTTGCGGGCAGCCAATGTTCCAAACACCTGGCAACGAAGCAGCCCGACGAGCTGCTCCACCCACTGTGGGAGTTCCCTGCCCTGCCTGGGAACCTGCGGGGTGTTTCGCAGGCCCCGGTCCTGCTGTCGGCGGGCCCTCGCCGAGCGA